TCCAAAGAAGAACTTCTCCAACTACTAAAATCCTTAATGGTTGGTGAATATCCTGATAGACAATGGCCAAGAAAAGATTAGATGTGAAACTAAAAATGTGTTTAATGCCAATAATGTTGAATGCAATATTGAAGTAGCAGACCAAATAAATATTATTGAAAATTATTCTAGTTATTCTCTGACAAATAGAGATAATTTTGAGTATTTACTTTTAAATGGTCAAAAGGTGAAAGTACTCTTTGAAACTGGATCGAATATTAATCTGATTGATGAAGAATTAGTAAATAAAAATAAATTTCCTGTTTATGAAACGTCTATTTACATAAAGAGCTTAGCTGGAATAACCAAATGTTTTTTCAGAATTGAAGTAACTATTGAAATCAATTAGCTCGTAAATTTTATGGACGCAATAGTAAAAGATTTAAATTTTGGTATACTTTTAGGACGCCATTTACTAAATAAACTATTTAAATTAAATTGAAAAAAATGAATTTACAGAAAACAGTATATCCAAAAATTGTCCAAATTTACTAAAATATAATGATTCAAAACCGTCAGCCTTTGAAATAGATTTTAATTTAAAGGAAAATGCAAAAATTGTTAAGCTGAAACCCTATCGATATTCAGAAAACAAAAGAATATGGATAAAAATAAGGCCAATGAGTTACTTAAAAACAAAATATTTACGAAGACAATATAAGGAAACTGAATTAGATCCGTTTAATTTTCCAATTGGTGATGAAATCATTCAAAAATTGGGTGGATGTAAATTTTTCTCAAAATTTGATTTGAAGGATGGGTTTTGGAATACAAGTATATCGAAAATGACACAGAAATAACGGCGTTTGCGACAGAAGATGGGCATTATGAATTTACAAGGCTCCCTTTTGGATGGAAAAACTCTAGTGTACATTTTTAAAGAATAATGCAGGAAGCTTTAGGTGAACTACTTGATACGAATGTAGTAGTTTTTATCGATGACTTTATGTATGGAAGATATACTTATAACGAGTATGTTAAGCTTTCGACAGAAGTGATGTACCAACTCAATAAACATAACTTTAAAATAAATCTAACAAAATGTAAATTTTGCGTTTCCAAAATTGTATTTCTTGGTAGGGAAATTGATGATGATATCAAGAAAATGAATCCATTGAAAAGGTAAAAAATATGAAAAAACCGTATGATCTAAAATCCCTACTAAAAAGTAAACAATTCGTCGTCAATGTCTTATTTTATTAATCATAATTAAATTCTTTCCGCTATTTTAAAGTAAAGAATGAGTAGGCATGTTGCGGAACGAACTTGTGATACTTTTGCTGTAAGATACCCAGACAAAGCCGGTCCGTCAATTTTCAAGCAATAATTTTTTATACGATTTACGATATTTCGTATTGATGATTGATCAATCGAGGCCCTTTTATTTAGCCACCAAGATGCTGTGATATTCTTTATATCGTGCTATATTAAAGAAAAAGTCTATTAAATTCATTTAACTATTAAAGAGCCAAGAAAGAGCATGCCAAGCATTCCATTCGATAACAGCCTTGATTGCGAGAGGATGTCCACTATTACCTCTACTGTAGAACATGGTCCTCAACACCCTCATCAACCGCTTCAATAATGACAGTCTCTACACAAAACGTATGTAAATGACCTAGTCATTCTACAAATAAGGAATTTTGAGAACAGAAAGCAAAGAGCTCTCGAAATAATAAATCAGTGGTGCAATGCCATTCACTTTCTATCAATCCCAAGAAGACTTAAATAGTCCTTTTCACAAAAAGAACGATATAAATGGAACTAAAACCTGAGCTCATAAATACGAACGGTTTTAAAATAAAACAAGGCTCATGATGTTGAATATACTCCAGATCCTTAATCCTAAACATAAAACTACAACCCAATAGTGCCAGTGTAGTTCAAACCGAACTGATAAGGATTCTCATAGAAGCAGAAGAAGTTACTAGAACGAATATCACTGGGAGGAACTTGCTTATCTATAAAGACTACTCACTCTGGTCATACCATGAATTTACTCAGGGTTAGTACTGGAATGATACAAAGCTTTGGCCCAAGTACTCATTAACAATATGGTCACCTAAAGATGGACCAAAGGTCTCGCCACATTGATAGGTAACTGTTTTGCTGAATCACTAGCCAAAACAGCAGCCAACCAAATACTTTTTGGGCCTGGACTGACTGACTGACTGACAATATCTAATATTATTCACTTATGAAAATCAAGGAAAGATGGGATGAAACAAGAAGCTGCCAAGGAGCTTTTAAATTTTACCGACAACATTACAGAAACAAATAACTTGAACTATGACTAGACAGAATCTGCATTCTGGCCGGTCATTGCCAAGTACGAAAACATGGGGCTGTCAGAATCTGCACTCTACAGGGAGTGTGAACAAGAAGATGAGAACATCGAGCAAATCCTCTACGATTGCCCGACGCTCTTATTTATTAAAAATTTTGTGTTCTGCTAGTATTGGTTAACACCAGCTGATATAATAGAAGCACCTCTCGGCAACGTTGTCAACAACTTCAAATCTGTAGGCTGGTTGAGGAGCAACCCACCCTCCCCACTTTACAGAGATGAGTTTCACTTATTTTTGACCGTATAATGTGATGAACTAATAAAAAAATAATGTAAGATATTGATGTTATATTTCTCGAGAATATTAAGAGCTTTAAATTTGTGCAATGATAAGGCAGCACTCTACAGAAACATTTAAGAAAACCTTCCTGTTTAAAAACTACTTGATATTTATTTAATCAAAAAGCAGCAAATTTTCATAGATTTAATACAGAATGGCGCCTAAATGTTTTTTTTATTCCTTTAGAAAATTATCAAAATAAATACTTTTCGAAGGTTTACAAAAAAATCAAGTTTTGTTATTATTATTTCCTGAAAATTTCACAAAAATCGGACTAAAAAAATTGAGGGTCAAAATAAATTAAAAATTTTCAAGGTTTCGGTTTGTTCTTAACTCCAAATGTTTTTTCTCACCTCATATAACAAAAGATATTTTAATGTCATGTAATAGTTCTAATAGTAATAGTACCATCTTCTTCATCATAATTCAGTTAAAAACTATCGAAAAATAAATATTTAATATTCGCAATAGTTTGTTTTTTTAAATGTTTTTTAACAATTATAAATTTTAGCTATACACTTTATTATATAAAGTGGCCTTAAAATTTATTCTTTTATCAAAATTCGGAATAAAAATAGGGGTATCCCATTTAAATTAAGAAAGTTTACAGCTACTTCCAGTACAAGCGAAATGACAGAACTGTCAAAGTACTTCAGATGGAAATATTGTAACCTGTTTACCGTTCTTACCGAATTTGAACAAAATCCGCAAATTAGTTTGTCAAATAAAGATAGTTTCCCCTCGTTACCGAACAGCTTGTATATTTTTAAATGGTTTGAGGTCTATTATTAATAAGTTCCTAATTTAAATATGTTAATCAATGCTATAATCCCATGTATAAATAAATAATCCACTTTCAGTAATTTTTGAATCACTCTGTAATTAATAATAATAATAATATACATCATTGGTTATAGTGAAATTATAATTGGATATTAGTAAAGCATTATTTTTTAACAATACTTTAATGTATTTGTCAAGAAAAAATGGCCAATTTGCAATTTCAACTCCCTGTATATTAAAACACTAGTCATATAATTGAGTTGTGCCCATAGAGACTGCAAAATACCAAAAAGCTCGTTTCTCCAAAAGCCCTGCCTGGGCGGCTATCCTCGACAATCGCTAAAAAAACGAACCGTTTTCGAAAGTGAGTGGTTCAAAAGCGAGTAGTTTTTGAAATCTATATTCTTGACTGACGTTCGATGAGTATTCGTTTTATAAGACGTATACGTTTTTAACAAGCAAATAATATATCTGGCATCACTGTAAACTGTCTATATCGTTCAATTCAAGTAATGTGCAGGCCATAAAAGAATAAGGATTATGTAATTTAATTACAACAAACCAATTGTAAATTTGTCGAACGATGATTTTTTCTAATCACATAATATATATATCGATGTTCAGGATAATCTGAATCGTTAATTGTTGGCGTAAAAATAGCTATACGGGTGCAGTTAATGCAACCTATAATTCTAGGAAAATCGTACGTCATAAAAACCTACTTTTTAAGGTAAAAAATTCATTTAACTAATAACTTTGCTTATCTTATTCAGTTCTTTAATATTTTGTGGCAATTTTACAAAATTGTAAAAATTTCTGGACACAACGTGTGATACAGAAGAGCTTTGAACCGCAAGCAAATTAACATTTGTAAATAAAACATACATGAATTAATAATTAAATTCTTACACGGTAAGATATAAAAAAAATTCATTCAATATCAGTTAAAATCAAAAACTGGATTCTGCCTCTGCAAGTCTGAATCTTTAAGGATTCTTCTAAGTTTTCTAATTGTACAATTATTGATAATATAATTGAAAGAAATTCTCAGCTAATGGACTTCTTTAGTACTGCAAACCATATTTATAAGAAATTAGATACATTTGTAGGTATTAATAAAAAGTAGTTTACCTAGAATTTGTTAAAATCAATTAATATTATTAATCGTCCTAAAAGTGACATATAAGTGACATTGACTAAATCCTTGAAAACATGCACGTTTTATCAAAAACGTGTGAAAAATTCTGCTCGCTGTAAAACACCCGTTTTAAAAGCGTACACGCTTTTAAAACGAATGTCGAGAATAGCGAATAGCTCGTATGTTGCGAAAGCGTGTATGTTTTTTAGAAAACGATAGCCGAGGATAGGGCCCCTGGTCCTTTGAGATATTTTAGGTCAAATAAATCATATCTCCTGTCATAACCAGGATTTTTTTTAAATGCTGTAGCTGTTATTTCAATGTGCCAGCGGAATTTTCATTGTTTTTATCCACACAGTGGCTTTTCAATACCGTTAAAAATATTAAAAACTAATTTAAAAATTTGTTTATAGCTCGCAAACGACGTGCGGGACAACTGCCCAAAAACTATTTGGTAGGTTACATCAGAAGTTCTATTGCTTGAGACATGCTGCGCTGTTGCCACATCGATGGACAAGCTTCTTCATGCCCGACACACTTTGAAACAAACAAAAAAATAATATAAATCAAGGAAAACACACGTATTGCCTTTTAACTTTAATTTGTAAGTTATTCTCTGTAATTTTTAGTTTAAATAAGAATTATTTTCGTTAGTTTACCTCCGCAAATATAATATATAGCTTTGTACTGGATATTTCGTAAATCGAAAAATTTTAAAATCGTTCTATAAACCATTACAAATGGTAAATGTCGTAAATCCTAATATGTTTGACAGTTGATGTATGATAATCTTCACGATCGTCGTATTTACAGTTGACGTATGACGATTTTGACAGTTGACATTTAAAAATCGTTTGATTTACCAAACATTCTTAAGCGCACGTACCATGTGGTTCTATTTTAAATATGTTTCGTTGGGAAATGGAATTTCTAAAAAGTTTTGTGACGATTGTGATAAACGATAAAAAGATTTTGTTGGGAGGTGAACTTGTACGCGAACGTATAGCTTTTATATTTGACAGATCCGGCTGTCAAATACAAAAAATTGATTCTGTGAATCATAGCAGATGAATAATTGGCGTATAGATGGCAGATCTGTCATTTATAAAAACATAGTTATTATACATATATATTTTTATGACAATCGTATTTGACGATTTAAAAATCGTTAGGTACGATTTTTGTTTTAAAAAAAGATTTTAATATATTATGATTTAAATTTTAGTAGGTACATCATTAATTTGTAAATATTCTTTGCACACACTGTATGTATTGACGTCATCTGCTTGTAGCACTGTATTAGGATTTAGAGATTTTTTAAATGTGCGTGGTGTTTCAGAAATAAGTAATATTAACTTTGAACTGCTTTTGTTACCTATCATGTCATCTGTCAACATTAGTTAACGTGACCTTTTCATACTTCTAGTCGCTAGATAGCACTGTCAATACTTAATCCAACGCTAGATGGTGTCGACACAAAATGGGTAGAAGTTTTACGTTGACAAGTGACATGCCAGATAACAGCTCGCGTATACGTAGTTCAAAAAGTGTTCCTAAGTGACGTGACGTTTTCATACTTCCAGTCGCTAGATAGCACTATCAATACCTTTATACAACGCTAGATGGTGCCGACACAAAACGGATAGAAGTTTTACGTTGACAAGTGACATGCTAGATGACAGCTCGCGTATACGTAGTTCAAAAAGTGTTCCTAAGTGACCTATTATCTACTGGAGAGTTTTGAAATTCTACCAGTGGACAATTTCTTTACAACTATCGACACCTATTACAACACTTTTAAATTTTGACAACTTACGCCAATATTTGAATATTGCTTAAATATGTCCAAAATTGTTTTATTGGTGTAAGATTACCAACATTTCCTCCAAGTTATACACTGTATATTTTATATTTATGTTCGCATTGCACCAATTTGCCAGTAATCCGATGGGTTAAGATCGGGTTATCTTGGCGTCCATCGATTTAAAAATTATCATTGAAATCATAATTTTTTGGTGTCATTTACATCGATAGGTGTCATGACAACGATTTTTTTACTGGTAGATTTTTCTGGAACGCTACGCATGTAATATATAGAAAATCGTTTTGTCTAGTAACTTGAAAAGCATTTCGTTGTATCGATTTTTGACAGATTTTAACTTTTTTTTTTGTAAATATTAAATTTACCATCGTCTATATTCGTATTGATACAGTATATTTGTATATCTGGATAGATACGAATTTGTTTTGTTATTGTCATAATATTGTTTTATCTAATTCGACTTCTTAAAGGTGATTATAACTTTTTGGGAGGTGGAATTTTTATTTTAGATTTATGTGTACATTTTTAGTCAAATACGTTTTGTTTTTTTTTCTTCTCTTCTTTTTAACGTGTATAAAATATAGTTATATAATTTCCGTATTTGCAAAAAAATGTGATGACAAAAATAATAATAGTAATTGTAATTTTCACAAAATAAAAACAGTATAACGTCTAATTGTTGGTTTTTCTCACTTTAAAATCATCCTTAATCAGTGTTCACAGTGTGTCGTCGCAGTAATTTAAGGTAAGAAAAATTTAAAAAATACAGAGTGTTTTTTCAAACATGCGGCAATTCAATGGTTTGTTCCTTGGACTACTCTAAGAATATTTTATCCTTTGATGATTTTTGAAAATCCGTTTTGTTAAGGAGATAAAGGGCGAACAAAATTTTAGACAATAACATCATTTGATTACCAAAAAATACATATAAATGTTATTTAATCTACAAGAACTGTTAAAAATGACTACCTTCGCCAATCTTCTCCTCATTGACTACCGAACTTTTTCAAAACCACCAGGGTCGTTTCTTATTGAGTTACACCCAGCAATTATCCGAATTCGAAAGTCTTCCACATTTTCTACTGGAATAGTATACACTAATGACTTTAGATGGTACCATAGGAAATAATCCAAGGGGTTTAAGTCCGGGGAACGAGCGGACCATAAATGAGGTCCTCCTCGATCAATCCAGCGATCTCCGTATCTTAATGTCAGAAACTCACGAGCAACCAAACTGAAATGCACTGGTGCACCATCGTGCATAAACCACATTGCATTACTTATTGCTAATGGTACATCATCCAGAAAATCAGGTAGAGTTTGCTCTAAAAAGTTGCGATACACTTCACCACCGGCAAGTTGCACACAATTTCAATTCAAACATTCAACGAGAACTGATGTTGAAAACGATCTTCAATTACCTCATGTGGATTTTCGTCAGCCCATACATGGTTATTGTGAAAATTCCTTATTGCATTTTTCGAGAAATTCGCGTCATCGGTAAAAAGAATAAGCGTCAGCAGTTGAGGAATTTGAACTAATGTGTGCAAAAGCCATTGACAAAATGCAATACGTGGAGGAAAATCAGCTGGAAGAAGTGCCTGAACGCGTTGTATGTGGTATGGGTTATAACAAATTGTCCCTAAGAATTTTCCAAGTAGTCGAATAATTCAAAATTTTTGCAATTTTTCGAGTAGAGGTACTCGGATCTTCCTCGATCATGTCCAGCACATTTTCTTTCACTTCCACCGTTCTTGCTGTATTTGGCCTTTCTGGTCCTCCATTTCGTCTCAATGCGCCTGTGTCATAAATACGTTGATGAATATTTTGGAACAATTTTCTATCAGGAATATTACGGTCAGGAAATCGTCCAATGTACAGCCTCCTAGCTTCTAATGAATTTCCATCAGCAAAACCATAAATGTAATGCACGTCAGTCAGCTCCGCGTTTGTATAGTGATTCATGATAAAGTCAGTAACAAAATTTTAACTACCTAATGATCAATCACTAGACGAATTCAAATGAAATCCAGATTTAATCTGTATTTCTTTACGATGTCTGAACTTTTGCCTGTTTTAAGTGGAAAAAATAGCCGTTTTTAATAATTGGAATGTTAAAAAATAATAAAAATAATTTTTAAAAAAGTTGTATGTTCTTGGTTAACACGGTGTAGTACCTATTTTTATTTAGAATATTAATAATTTTAAAAATAATAAAAATAGTTTTCTCGAAATAGAATTTTAAAAATCATCAAACAAAATATTCTTAGAATACTCCAAGGAACAACCCCTTGAATTTTTGGCGCATGTTTAAAAAACACCCTGTATATTTAAAATGTAATGCCTTAGAGTAGGACAGAGGCGAGTTGTATTTTAAATCTACGACGCAGAGGATTACTACCAAATATCGATCAGCCGCCATTTTTATGGTACCGCAGAAGCCGTTGTGTAATTTTTGTATTTTTAATTTTTTATGAAACGACAGTAGAAAAATTTCAGGAAAGTCCTAACAGAGTTGCCATATATGGAAACAAAAGGTGCGAATTTTGCAAAAAAAAATAAGCATCCAAAAGTAACTAGTTTCTCTATAGTAAATTTCGTAAAAAAATTCCTGTAAAAACCAGCATTTTTTGAGAAAAATTTAATTAAAAACCTCAATTTTACAGGTTATATTCACAAAACATTTACTCTAGATGACAGGTTCGGTATTAAAAATTACAATGTTGCCAAGTTGTTAACGAAATTTTCAGTTTCAGGATTATTTAAAATGCATAAATTACGAGATTATAAAAAACAAGAAGACGAAGCAACGACTTCTCGTGCGGCCTGGAATCTCTATGGGTTGCTTCGCAAAAAATATACATAAAAAAGACAAATTGAACAAATCTTTACTAATTTACCTAACCTGTGCGGCCTGGAGTCACCACGGGTTGCTTCGCATAAAAATATGCATAAAATAAGAAAAATTAAACAAATATTAACTAATTTACCTAACTTGTGGGGCCTAGAGACATCACGGGTTGCTTCGCGAAAAAAGTATGCATAAAATGAGAAAATTAAAAACATAATATATATTTTCGAGCTACCGTAAAACGGGTATATATGGAATGATATTTTCGGTTATTGCTTTGTATTTTAGTACGTGTACTGTATATTATTTTTGTACTTATTTTAGGTAGGAGGGGTTTACAAAGTCTACATTCTCTACATTTACATTCTCTACATAAAATGTTGAAAAAAAAAATCACATATATATATAGGATGGCTCACGCTCAACGGGACGGAGCTTTATGGGAAAACGACCAAAGATATAACAAATTCGTTTGGGAGGAATACGTAGGTTACAGACGGCTACAATTTAAAATTTGTTAGATGTATACAGGATGTCCCACATAAGAGAAAATATACAAAGTTATATTATTTTTATTTTGTTTTTTATTTTAGAATTAAAAACTACATCAAAAATAATGTCAGGTAACTAAAGGTTTCCTATTACTATTATTATTAGTTTTCGATTTATTTGAATTTTTAAGGAAAAAAAGTCTCCCAGAAATTAATTGTTTACTCTTGTTTGAATAATTTTTAATGAACTAATTTTTTTTTTCTTATGTGGGACATCCTGTATACATCTAACAAATTTTAAATTGTAGCCGTCTGTAACCTACGTATTCCTCCCAAACGAATTTTTTATATCTTTGGTCGTTTTCCCATAAAGCTCCGTCCCGTTGAGCGTGAGCCACCCTGTATATTTTCGAGCTACACTTTATCGAACAAAACAATTTTTGAACACCCAAATTGGATATTATTAGACAGTGATTTTATATTCATGTGTTTGGCAACGTTGCAAACTCAAGGACCGTATGTGTCAACAATTGACAATTTCATGAATTAATTTGTTTTATGTTTTGTGGAAGGAAATAGTGAAATGATTCTAAAAGTTAGGTTAAAACAAACAAAAAAATCGCATTTTATTATAATATAAATGAAAATAACAAGTGAAATATAATTTTACAAATGTAATTTCAGTTAAAACATCAAGGAAGTTGCTCTGATATACAATAAAAAAAAGGTTTCAATTTAAAAATAAATTGCGATTGCCTGTTATTTCCGAAACAACCGGAAGTAAGCCATGACGTCATAGAATAATTGAATCCATCATAAGAACGTATTTGTTCCAGTCTGTCAAACAAAAAAATATTCCGATATATCAATGAATAACGAAGAAAAGGGGTGGGGTGGAACTTTTAAGTGGCCCACCCTGTATACTAAACGTTGCTCTACATAAATTGACGTTAAACAACCTCTAAAACAACGAGAAAACTTGGTAGTTTGTGTCCACTCTTCGCCAATTTAGTTTCGCTTCTTGGATAAGGTATTCTTTGGTTTAATATATAGTTCAGTGATGTGTAAACCTGTCACACAATCTTTCACGTGAAGTGAACACTCGTCGATTTGCCAAGAATACGAATTGTGCAAATTTCATGTGACTTATTCATCGAGTGAACAATTCACACAGCTCGAGATTTGGAGCCCAGAAATTTTCCCACTATTTATTTGAAACCGTAGTATAGACATTCTAGACATGCAAAGTAAATCTGGCAACGCGACGATAAAGTATTTCGTTCTGACGTTTTAGTACACTTTTGATGTATATCGTGTTATTTTGTCCGGTGATTTTTTTTTTCGAAAAACGTTCA